CTGAAGCACACACACTCAAACACACACACACTGAAGCACACACACTCACACACACACACACTCACATACATACATACACACTCACACTCACATACACTCACACACAGACACACACACACTGAAGCACACACACACTCACACACACTGAAGCACTCACACACACAAACTCACTCACACTCACACACACAAACTCACTCACACACACAAACACTCACACTCTCTCACACACACTCACATACACTCTCACAGACAGACAGACAGACAGACAGACAGACAGACACATGCACACTTCCTTCAGCCGTGACCTCACTTCCTGTGACATCACTGCTGGAGTGGGGGGGATGGGCAGGAGACACTAAAGCTCTCGATCTCATGCAGCGCCTCAATGACACAGAACGATCCCTGCTAACCGTCCGGATCACTCACCTCTGAAGTGCATTAGAGCCACAGGCGGGAACGGCCCGTTGGGATTAGGAGCGTCTAGCACCATCCTGCCTCAGACGAGCTGCATGTCAGCGCGCGGCGCAGCGAAAACACAGAAAACACTCCTACAGCGCCAGAGCAGCCTCCATTTAAACACAGAAGCTGAGCAGAAAACGAAGCTGTGTGCTGGAGGAACCGACTGCTGGCTGATGTCAGCGGGAGCTGCGAGCCCATTGGTCCACTGCACACAGGAGCCGTGACATCAGCAGAGCGCAGGCAGAAGCCTATTGGTCAGGAGAGAAGGCGGGACTTACGGGCTCTCCAGCAGTCCTACAGAGCAGTCACGCCTCATTACTCTGTGTGTGTGTGTGTGTCATGGTGATAAACAGGAAAATATCAGTGTCAATGTTGCAAAGTTCATCAAATATTCATATCCTGCTCCAAAGATTCAAAGCAGCTCTAGAGAAGACAATAGAGTCATTATTAAACAGACAGGATTGTGTGTTTGGATGTTTCTGCATCTGTAACAGATCTGATCTGTATTAATCACTGAAGGAGACTCCAAACACATTCACGTCTCTGCTTCTGCCTGCTCTGAGTGATATATAACATTTACAGTGGCTAATACACAATCCCAAACTTATACTACATTCAAAGCGTAAACATTTATGGATGCAGTTCAACAGGGCATTTGATCACGGACAATATTTCATCTGGTTTTGGTTTCTGATTCTGAGTGCATCCCAGACAGCAGACAGTTTCGGCCCAGATCCGGCCCACATCTGGCCCGCATGGATTTCACATGGGCCAGATGTGGGCCGGATCTGGGCCAACACTATGTTGCTGTCTGGGATGATATCAGAGCTTTTATTTTCATATTTTTGGCTTGCTTACTTTGGGTCTTAACGTTCAGTGATTTATCGATGAGCACACTGACTGACCGCATCAGAAGATAACAAAACTTGAGCTGTGTCTTCTTCAGAGCGGCTTTACGGTTTCCATCACTGATTCTGTGATTTTGCTGTTTATCACCGTAAATCTGATTGGAAAAGTTACTCGTCTTCAGAGCATGTTTCTACTGCTTTGATCAGATGTCAATGAAATCAGAGCAGTCACGTGATAGCAGTCGCTCAGCTTCGATACAGTTCAGATAGAGGTTTAGTTTAGCGTTAATGTGAGTTATTGTTCAGCTTTAGTGAAGAAGGTACAAGCAGTGTTGGGAAGGTTGCTTTGGAAATGTAACAGGTTACAGATTACAAATTACCCTATTCAAAATGTAATAACTATTTCAGTTACTTTATTACAGCTGCAGTCCGTAAGTGTTGCCTCTTTGTCGCCATCTCTGTTTGAAAACCTGGAATTGCAGCTGTGTGAGGAACTATCTAGCTTGCTGTGTGTTGTGCTCCGGCTCCGGCGCGGATGAATCTAATGTTCTGAAGAGTGTGTGGCAGTCAGTCACCGCACCGGTGGATATCTACTGTACTTCACAAGCACAGATTCTAGCCTACGTCGTGGAATATGTTTCTGCACAGTCTAATCTAATTGTCATACTCTTCGAATTTCATATTAAGAAATTCTTTTAACCCAAAAAGCAAATTATGCTCTCTTCGAACTGGTTTTCTTTGAAATACAAATCTTTGTAATCCCAGGCTATCTGTAATCAGAAGCACATTTATAACTGGAATATAGTTTAATTTCATTCACGTGTTTCATAAACACATAATCCTTTCTGGATTACAATCCGCCATCAAAATGATGTTTAATTATTCCAGCTGCTGTGAGAAAAGGTTATAAACGATCCACAGCTGCAGGATCCTCACATGTGATAGTCTAGCAGCCGGGACTACTTCTTTATGTTTACAGACGTGACGTAATGACGCAGCGGCACGCTCGAATTTCCCACGAATTTCCTGTGATATTTGCACAGTTATGATGGGAAACACTGGCATCTAACAGTGCCTGGGAAAAACAGCTAATTCTGAAAAATAAAGCATATACATAAACCCAAATAGGAAATAAATCAGTTATGGAACAAGCATGTGTCCTAAACTCCTGAAACATTGCAGTCTCATATTTTAGAGCAGTCAACACAATTTATGAAAGAAATCAATCATATCTGTATGTGGGTGAAAATATTCAGCTGTAACATTTTCATAAGTAACTGTCATTTAATTACACATTTTTCTCAGTATCTGTGACTGATTACAGTTACATTTATTTTGTAATTAAATTACGTAATTCTGTTACATGTAACTAGTTACTCCCCAGCACTGCTCACAAGTCAATAAAAGCTGTGGTTTAGACACTAACTGATTTAAGCTCCTAAACTCGATTAAACAAACCTGTTACAATATTAACTGAAATGTTTCTGTCTTTGTGTTGCCTCCCGAAACAAAACAAACTGATTTGGAATCAGTCTGACACATTATAAGGTTTAATGTAACAAAAGAGCAACAAATAGAAAGACAGAATCAGAACAAAAGACAATGAGGTTTACATGCATTAATCCAAAGCATACTATGTTAGCTTATAAGAATCCCACCATGAGTCTTACATACACATCAAAATCTCTCAACAAAATTTTAAAAAGGAAGGAGTTTTCTTTGAAAATGTACATTTATGAATGTAAAATTTGGCAAGAAATGTATTCATGTCTTTCATATACACGCGTCATTGCAGCAGAGACGCGCTGACGCGAGTGACGCTTCTCGGCTTTCTGGGATTTGTAGTTCTCGCGCCGCGTTCACTCGTTCGCTCCGCCGGTGGAAAAACTACATATCCCAGACTTCCGAGAAACAATAAAGTTCGTCGACGAGCGGGGCGCTGGTCATTCCGGTGAAGTGTCAGAGTCCGTGATACAGCGGGTCTCTCTCACAGCTCCGTCTTCGGCTCTTTGCGCTTCATCGCGGCGGGAAATGTCTGACGGTGGCGGAGGAGAGGACGGCGGCGGCGGGATGGAGGTCTCTGCCGCCGTGCAGACGGTAGCGGACGCGTCGGTTCTGCAGAAACACTTCCGAAAGCTGGTGCCGCTGCTGCTGGAAGATGGCGGCGACGCTCCCGCTTCTCTAGAGACCGCGCTGGAGGAGAAGAGCGCGCTGGAGCAGATGAGGAAGTTCCTCTCGGATCCTCAGATTCACTCGATCCTGGTGGAGCGGAGCGCGCTGAAAGGTGACAACTCCGTCCGTTAAACGCACATGAAAACACCGTGTCCTAACGACGAACGCGACGCGACACAATCGATCAAATATCACAGCCAATCAGAAGCGCGTGTGGGCGGAGCCTCAACGAAATGGATGTTTATGATCTAATTCATAAATATTAAACCTTTTTAGCATTATTAAATGTACATACTGAGTGACTGATACCAGCTCTGTTATGGAATACACTTGTTAGTTAGCATCGAGTTCACAGTTTTAACGTATATATCTGCTTTAATTTATTTTCAAGATCTGAGGTAAACTCTGTTGTTGCTTTCAGTACGGCTAACTTATAAGGTCACGCAAAATGATATCTAAACTCCCATTAGACACACGTTTAGCTTTGAATAAAGTAGCGTTATGTAATCTGTACTTGAGATTGTCACTGTCAGGTAGTTTGTATGTTGTTTCTAAAATAGAAGTTTCCCGTGTCGCCGTCGCGGATAATAAGCACAAAACCTCAGATTAACATTGAAAAGATGCGTTTTATCGCGTGTCGCGTGCAGCTGCATGTGGGATTAAGCTCAGGATGACACGCACGCAGTGTTTGGGTGTGGTTTTGCTCGGACTGTCATCGATGTTGTTATATTTTATTGCATAGAATTGTCGCAGGGTTTGTGTAGCCCCGCCCTGCTTGTATGTTGTTGACGTCAGAGACCGTGAGGCTGAGGGGCGTGTTTGCTGCACTGCAGACCTGTGACGTCACGAACACTTTGATTAGGAGCGCAGTCAAAAGATTCAGGAGCACCTTCTGATCAATAACAAAAATTAGCCTTCCCATCACGAGCTGATATTTGACTGCTCAAAGTGATTTACGGGGATTTGTTTAAGTTTGTAATGGCTTCATTGAACGTATGTCATCTTTTAAAAAAATTATATTATTAGCTTTTTGCAAATTTTCTAATTAAAACACTAGAGTAAGAAGAATATGTTGGCGATCAAATAAAATCAGTATTAACGAAATTCATTTGCACTACAGAAGACGACAAAAGTGTCATGTAGGTATATTTACAGACGTTTAGTGAGGCTCGGAGGTGGCATGAGGGCAATTAAATTCATGTTGAGATTAATGTTTTAAATATAAAATTGAGTATATAAATATTACATGATTTGAATAACTGAATTATGCTTTAAAAATTAAACTAAAGCTGCCAGTAGGTGGCGGCAAGTCACTTTATTACCACTGAATCATTCATTCAATTGATTCGTTCGAACAGCTGATTCATTCGGGAACGAAGCAAGTGACTCTTTATGAACGGCTCAGCTTCTGTGACTTTGTTCGAAACTATTTTAGTTGACGAAACGGAGCAAAATCAGGCAATAGTTTTGTAGTCATTTAATATTATCTTATTGTTTATTTAACTGTTGTATTAAATCAATATCACATTTGCAAACTCCCTTAATAGTCATTTAATATCTTAGTTCATCCCGAACTCACAAAGCTCTATTATAATCAATGCATCTCTTATTTCCGTCGTGTCTACACTTTGTTTGTTATAATGAGAGGATTGCATAACTCCGCACTGAACAAAACTCTGAGCAGTGAGTGGATTCTGATTAACATTGTCAATTAAATTCATAAATTCATGTTGAGAATATTTGCAAAGAAGTATGTGCATTTCTCAAAACAATTTGTACAGACAGCACCACACACCTGCAAAAGCCTGAAACTTACTCAAAATCTTTAGTTTGTCTCTCAAAAGTAAATATTCATGTCAGTGAACACATCAGTGCCATCAGAATGAAAAGTCCTTGTGTCATTGCTCACGAACACAAGATGCTTAGTCATGTTAGTCTGTTAGTATTATGTGATGTAAACTATGGCAACAGTTTGGATGATGTATAGCACCTCAATACCATGGCAAAAATATAACTATGGTTTTTGGGCCTTTTTGTATGAAAAACAGTTATGATCATTACAGTGATTTACAGCCATGACAACGAAGACACAAGCAATGCTGTTTTTAGTGTGAGTGTGTTGTTGTCGTTACTGTAGTGCTGTTGTGTTTGTGTTCAGACTCCAGGCAATAACACATAAACACCAGCAGCTGATTATATTTATCATCACATGCTCATCTTCTTGTCTTCTGCTGGGTTCACATCAGATGGTGAAATAAAGATTAGCTGATTTATCACAAACGGCTGGTTGTTTGTTGTTGTTCTGCAGAGGATGTTGGTGATGAAGGCGAGGAGGAGCGCGAGTGCATTTCCTACAGCATCAGCATCGACATCCACTACGGGCTCAAATCAAACAGGTAACGAGTTCAGACCGTGAGCTGATTATTCTGATCTGCAAACTGATATTTCCTACTGACACACTACAGCAAAAGATAGAAATAAGTGACTTAGCTGCTGGAAATACTAGCGTTCTAATGATTTCTGCCAGCACTGTATGTGACGTGTTCTGATGAGAACCGTGATCTTTCAGCCTGGCCCTGATCAAGCGGACCGGAGTGATTGATGCGGACAAACCCATCTCCACTCAGGTGCGAGTTCTGACTCTGAGCGAAGACTCTCCGTATGAGACGCTGCACTCCTTCATCAGCAATGCTGTGTCTCCGTACTTCAAATCCTACATCCGAGAGTCTGGCAAAGCCGACAGGTAACGAGAGCGTAACGCGTCTCATCCTCACACACACACACGCGCACAAGCCGTGCCTCATCGTGTCTGTGTGTCTGCGCAGGGATGGAGATAAGATGGCCCCTTCGGTGGAGAAGAAGATCGCGGAGCTGGAGATGGGCTTACTGCACCTGCAGCAGAACATCGAGATCCCCGAGATCAGCCTGCTCATCCACCCCATCATCACCAACGTGGCCAAGCAGTGCTACGAGCGCGCAGAGAAGCCCAAGGTCACAGACTTCGGGGATAAAGTGGAGGATCCCAGCTTCCTGAACCAGCTGCAGTCTGGAGTCAACCGCTGGATCCGGGAGATACAGAAGGTTTGAGACTCGCTGACCTTCAGATGACCCTGTACTGTTACATAGGCGATGTGGCCAAAAATTAACATCTCAGTTTTTTCAGAACATTTGACAGTCTCGATTTTTAACTAGTCAACTTGAAAATGTAACTACAACACGATTCAAGTAGCTTTTTATCTCATTATCTTCACATTGTCTCGTAGAAGCGCCTAGACAACACTGGGAAATGCATGTTTTAGCTAATTTACACAAGCTGCTGCTGCTTTATATCAGAAAATGAAATTAATGTAGCATCAGTGACGTGTCGTGTGAACAAGAACTGCGTTATTTTGTTGTTTAATGTGTTGGTGCAGCTCTACAAAAACACTGATATGGTTTGCTGATAGTTCCAGCTTTCACCACAAAAGGGCCACACAATATGGAGGAAAACATGATTCACAAGCTTAAGAATTAATGCATCAAATCACTTTTCAGTTTAATTTACCGCATCTTTTTTTCTGGGTGAAGAAACCCGCAGATCTGTTGCTGAGGTGGTCTTTTACAGCATTAATGACAGTCAAATGGAAATCTAAACAAAGGCTTAATGAGCAGCTTACACATCAGAACGACATGCAGAAACATTACATTGCAATATTGGGAGATATAGAGTGATAACTGACACCTTTATCATTTTATGCAAGTAGTCTGCTATTAATGATGAACTGCTTTTAACTGAAAATTGAGTGTTTACTATTGTCCTTTAGCATTATTGACACTATTTTCCTATTTAATATTGTAAAGCTGCTTTGACACAATCTGTATTGTTAAAAGCGCTATATAAATAAAGGTGACTTGACTATTATAAACGCTGTTAAGAAGATTTCGTCTTTTTGGCTATATGTGACTGGAGCACAAAACCAGTCATAAGGGTCAATTTTGTGAAATCATCTGAAAGCTGAATAAATAAGCTTTCCATTGATGTATGGTTTGTTATGATAGGACAATATTTGACTGAGATACAACTATTTGAAAATCTGGAATCTGAGGGTGCAAAAAAATCTAAATATTGAGAAAATCATCTTTAAAGTTGTCCAAATGAAGTTCTTAGCAATGCATATTACTAATCAAAAATTAAGTTTTGATATATTTACGGTAGGAAATGTTCAAAATATCTTCATGGAACATGATCTTTACTTAATATCCTAATGATTTTTGGCATAAAAGAGAAATTGATAATTTTGACCCATACAATGTATTGTTGGCTATTGCTACAAATATACCCCAGCGACTTAAGACTGCTTTTGTGCTGCAGGGTCACATAAATATCAGCATCTCCACCAAATTGCGTATTTTTTCCTATTTTGAAAATTGAGCTGTTTTTTCTCCAAATTATCAGACTGTGTGAGCCATAAAAGCCTGATGCAGCAAATATGATACAAAACATAAAACGCATGCATGTCTTATTTCTGTTTTCATTTAGATTTTGTCTAAAGGTTCGATGAATTGTTCCATTTCAAAAAATTAATTTCTTAGCCCTGATGATTATCTTACCGTGTCAAGCTCATTTGCAGTGTTTTTTACTGGTATATCTGGCGCAGGCCTACAGTGGATCAGGATTTCAGGTCTGTCTGCCGTTTCTTTCAGGTGACTAAACTGGACCGAGACCCTGCGTCTGGAACGGCTCTGCAGGAGATCAGCTTCTGGCTGAACCTGGAGCGAGCCCTGAACCGCATCCAGGAGAAGAGGGAGAGTCCGGAGGTGCTGCTGACGCTCGACATCCTCAAACACGGCAAACGCTTCCACGCCACGGTCAGCTTCGACACCGACACAGGTGAGCCGTCTGTCCGAGAGCCATCTCCATGATGCTGCACGCTTGTGAACGCTCTGGTGTGTTTCTCTCAGGCCTGAAGCAGGCTGTGGAGACGGTGAACGACTACAACCCTCTGATGAAGGACTTTCCCCTCAACGATCTCCTGTCAGCCACTGAGCTCGACAAGATCCGTCAGGCGCTGGTGGCCATCTTCAATCACCTGCGCAAGATCCGGAACACCAAGTACCCCATCCAGCGTGCGCTGCGTCTGGTGGAGGCCATCTCCAGAGACCTGAGCTCTCAGCTGCTCAAAGTGCTGGGCACTCGCAAGCTCATGCACGTGGCGTACGAGGAGTTTGAGAAGGTACGACATAAGACCTGTATGTACTAGAACCAAATCAGAACACGGATTTCAGTGCCGCTTAAATTCCTTGAGCGATCGATTAAAGCAGTTGTCCTCTGGTTCTCCAAAACGGACGTAAGAAGCATCATCACCTGTGGCCCTCTAGGAATCGAGTTTGAGACCACTGCTTTAGACCATCTAGGAATGTTAAATCCACAAATAAAATGTTACGGTTTCAACTGCATCTGTCTAGAAAAAAAAAAGAAGAGTTTGATTTTATTATAGTTATTTTCAAGGCTTTCTTTTACTCATTACAAAATAACTTTAATAATATTTATTAGGGATGTAACGATATTATCGTGGTCACATGACGATATGAAATGATAGGTCTTCCGGGCAAAAAGTGTAGTTTTAAAAATATATTTAAACTTCTTATTCTAACATAAAATGTATTTAAAGTTGTGTTTGGGCCATTATGCTTTGGCACAGTATCTGACAAACGAACTAAAACCGAAAGCACAATATGCTCAATCCCTTCATCAAGTCTGTTTTTGTTGCGTGTTTCAAAGTGAAGCACGCACTTGGTTCAGACGATCAGCTCGTGATCCGGTGTTTTCCGCGTCTCAGAACAGCTCCGTTCACACTGAATGAATGCAGTCCACTCCTTTATTTCATGTGCTGGGAGTTTAGTGTGCGTTTGGGAACACAACAGACACCAGTTATGCTTTATTTTCGCAGCAGATGATTACAGCATTTCATTAGATTTGTAGTGAGACGTGTTTTTGTGAGGATGTTTTCACTGAAGCTGGAGCTTTGCTTCAAAATAAAAGCTCTGCTGCCGTTTCCGTCAAAATAAAAGCTTAAAGTGCAGTATGAATTGCTGACAGCTAGCGGTTTAAATGCAGTCCAAATTCAAAATATCTCTTTCAAGTGTAGAAATTAGGAAAGAAGTATTGTAATTTCCCTACTGTAGTGTAAAGCAAAAATAATAAACCTATGAAATATTAATTTTCATTTATTTTACAGTGCAATTGTTTTACAATATATGGCTACTACTGTCATTGTTGTTATTATTATTATTAAATTCTAATTTGTTTGGCTTCCTCAAACCCCAGTGTGAATGTAATTTAGACTGAGACAGTATATCACAAATAAAAAGGGTTGAGTCCCCATTAAAGTTCAGGTACAAGTCAATTCACTGACTTTTTTCTGACTTAAGTTTCTTAGTTAAGAAACATGGGTTGGAGCTCTTAATTTTGAGCTCTCAAAGTGCATTAGATAGAAGAATCTAACTTTAAAATGTACAAAATTCTCATTTTTTTCCAATTCTTCATTTGTCTTTTTTTTATAAATATCGCAATAAATATCGTATTGTGGACTTGATATCGCGATATCATCATATCGTGAGATTGTGATATTTTTTTTTAAATAATTTCTGCACAGGAGAGACTTGGTGTTTCAAAACAAAGGGAAATATATATCGGTATCTGCATCGGCTATTGGCCAAAATTAGTTGAAAAATATCGGATATTAGGAAAAATGTAATATCATTCATCTCTAAAAACATTTTTTTTTTTTTTAAGTATCGTTTTAGGCACCAGTAGCGTTTTAAAAGTATCGATTTGTATCCGGTATCATAAAAACCCAAACGATACCCAGCCCTACTCTCTCCTCCCGCAGCGATGCTCTGCAGCTCACGCCTCACGCTCTTCTTCCTCCGCAGGTGATGGTGGCGTGTTTCGAGGTCTTCCAGACGTGGGAGGACGAGTACGAGAAGCTGCAGGTGCTCCTGAGGGACATTGTGAAGAGGAAGAGGGAGGAGAACCTGAAGATGGTGTGGCGTCTCAGTCCGGCCCACCGGAAGCTCCAGGCCCGCTTGGACCACATGCGGCGCTTCAGACGGCAACACGAGCAGCTGAGAGCCGTCATCGTTCGTGTGCTCAGACCTCAGGTATGACTCTGACGCCTTCTGGATGTGATTATTCTGATGCTGTGAAGTTCTGATCTGTCATTCTGTTGACCAGTCAAAGATTAAGTGTTTCCTGACAAGCCTCAGATTGACAACAGACAGGAGTGACATGACATGGTCTATCATGACATTTTAGTTCATATTAATATGTGACCTTGGACCACAAAACCAGTCATAAGGGTACATTTTTTTGAAATTGAGATTTATACATCATCTGAAAGCTGAATAAATAATCTTTCCATTGATGTATGGTTTGTTAGGATAGCACAATATTTGGCTGAGATACAACTATTTGAAAATCTGGAATCTGAGGGTGCAAAAAAATCTAAATATTGAGAAAATCATCTTTAAAGTTGTTCAAATTAAGTTCTTAGCAATGCATATTACTAATCAAAAATTAAGTTTTGATATATGCACGGTAGGAAATTTACAAAATATCTTCATGGAACTAGGCCTGTCACGATAACAACTTTTTGTTGTGCGATATATTGCCCCAGAAATAATTGCGATAAGCGATATTACTGTCATTTTAAAGACCATATTATGCCACTGAATATATTACCCCAGCGACTTATGACTGCTTTTGTGCTGCAGGGACACAGATATGATCATTACCAGCTAGAGACGTGAACAGAAGAGACAAACCTCAAATTTGGATTTAAGAGTCTTTAAAGCTACATTCACACTGTCAGTCCAAATCTGGTTATTTGTGCATCCTGTTGGAAATTTAAGTGATTGACAGCAACTCTTCAGATCCAGTTTACAATATCTTCATTGATTTCTGTGGCAGTGATGTTGCATTGGTATGCTGACATTAAAAAAAACAACAGCTACAGAGTTTGCGTTACAGATGTTCTTACAACATAACGACATGTTGTCTTTGCGCTTTATTATTACGACTTATGAGGCACAGAATTTAAATTTCAAACCATAGATGAATGTATCTTGAAACATATTTGTAAAAATTGTATTTCATGTGTTTTTTTTGTCATTCGTACTTGTTAAATATAATCAGATTCCAATTGTACATGCACAAAAATCAGCTTGAGTTGTGTCAAGAGTGTAGAAGTCTGGATATATATGTAAGGGATAATGTACATCCAGCTAAATATCTAATCAGAAATATCTAAACGCAAAGCTTCCGTGAAGAAGGCGGTTGTTAGCAAGCAGCAAGTTCAAACTAGACCGACATTAAGAGATAAGTCCTACTACTTATTACACGGCATTTCACCACATAAACAATTATGGCGATAAAAGATATTGATTTAAGATGAAACTTTTCAAAATCCGACCAGTTTTTTGTTATTTAATAATCCGTTACAGTGTACAAAACAATTGTCGCAAAATGGCAGCAGCTGCATTTGTATGAAAGAGAAAGTGCGAGTCCGTGATACCAGGATGATATAATTACATAATTAGGTTGGCTTGAGATCTGCTACTTAAGCTTTTTATTATTATTCTTCTTAGACTAAATTTCTGAACGCTACTCCTCCTAGAGCATTATTATTATTATTATTTATTATTATTAACAACATGCTAATCATGCTAGAAACATGCTAATCATGCTAGAAACATGTGATCAACATTTATCTAATCTATCTAAATTTTCAAACTTCAGGCTTTTACAACTGCTTTAAACTTTCAGGCTAGGCTAGGCTTTCTCAAGCCAACCTAAAGTTTGTCTTTTTTTTAATCTAGTTGTACACATAATATTGAATTGAGTTCTAATATTTTATTATTAGCCAACCAAACATAAAGCTTCCAAGTGGATAGCGCCGACTGCAGTTACCTGGATGAGCCTGTGATATTTACCCTGTTATTGTTATCAACAATAACAACTTGGAATGTGGTGACTGACCAATCAGATTCGAGTATTCCACAGAGCTGTGTAAAGCAAAAGCTAATAAAGTGTTTGCCTCTCTCCAGGTGTCCGCCGTGTCCCAGCATGCTCAGGGAAAGACGGCCGAGCCCGACGATATGAAGGTGGCCGAGGTGCTCTTCGATGCCGCAGACGTCAACGCCATCGAGGAAGTCAATCTGGCCTACGAAAACGTGAAGGAAGTGGACGGACTGGATGTCTCGAAGGAGGGAGTGGAGGCCTGGGAAGCGGCCATGAAGCGCTACGACGAGCGCATCGACCGCGTGGAGACACGCATCACAGCACGCCTGCGAGACCAGCTGGGCACCGCCAAGAACGCCAACGAGATGTTCCGCATCTTCTCCCGCTTCAACGCCCTGTTCGTGCGGCCGCACATCCGCGGAGCCATCCGAGAGTACCAGACGCAGCTCATCCAGCGCGTCAAAGACGACATCGAGGCTCTGCACGACAAGTTCAAGGTGCAGTATCCTCAGAGCCAGTCGTGCAAGATGAGCCACGTGCGAGACCTGCCTCCCGTCTCCGGCTCCATCATCTGGGCCAAGCAGATCGACCGGCAGCTGACGGCCTACATGAAGCGCGTGGAAGACGTCCTCGGGAAGGGCTGGGAAAACCACGTGGAGGGTCTGAAGCTCAAGCAGGACGGCGACAGCTTCCGCGCCAAGCTCAACACGCAGGAGATCTTCGACGACTGGGCAAAGAAGGTGCAGCAGCGCAACCTGGGCGTGTCGGGCCGCATCTTCACCATCGAGAACACGCGCGCCCGCGGACGCACCGGCACCGTGCTCAAGCTCAAGGTCAACTTCCTGCCCGAGATCATCACGCTCTCCAAAGAGGTGCGCAACCTGAAGTGGCTGAGCTTCCGCGTGCCGCTGGCCATCGTCAACAAAGCCCATCAGGCCAATCAGCTGTATCCCTTCGCCATCTCGCTCATCGAGAGCGTCCGCACCTACGAGCGCACCTGCGAGAAGGTGGAGGAGAGGATGTCCATCTCGCTGCTGGTGGCTGGCCTGAAGAAGGAGGTGCAGGCGCTCGTCACCGAGGGCATCTCTCTGGTCTGGGAGTCCTACAAACTCGACCCGTACGTCCAGCGTCTGGCCGAAACCGTCTTCAACTTCCAAGAAAAGGTCGACCAGCTCAAGACCAGTTAAACTAGAGCACCAGTCAGATGACTGGACACACACACATTCTTTATTAAAGCAATAAGCCCCGTGAAGCCGTGGTTTAAGCTTCACGGGGCTTATTGCTTTTATAAAACGGTTATTCCATATACGTAGTAAGGTTCCACAGAATAAAACAGAGCAAATAAAGTGTAATGATATTAATAAAAACAGTATTCTTCCACCAAACAATGTAGCTCCTCAGAAACAGTTGTGGTTGCAACAAAGTGGTTGCCGAGCAACAGACAAACGTAAACAAAGGTGTATGTTACTTTGTAGAGTCATTTACAACAGCTTCGAACGCGGCTCAGCCGATCAGAATCAAGCACCGGAACTCCTCTCTCCAGGTGTCCGCCGTGTCCCAGCATGCTCAGGGAAAGACGGCCGAGCCCGACGATATGAAGGTGGCCGAGGTGCTCTTCGATGCCGCAGACGTCAACGCCATCGAGGAAGTCAATCTGGCCTACGAAAACGTGAAGGAAGTGGACGGACTGGACGTCTCGAAGGAGGGAGTGGAGGCCTGGGAAGCGGCCATGAAGCGCTACGACGAGCGCATCGACCGCGTGGAGACACGCATCACAGCACGCCTGCGAGACCAGCTGGGCACCGCCAAGAACGCCAACGAGATGTTCCGCATCTTCTCCCGCTTCAACGCCCTGTTCGTGCGGCCGCACATCCGCGGAGCCATCCGAGAGTACCAGACGCAGCTCATCCAGCGCGTCAAAGACGACATCGAGGCTCTGCACGACAAGTTCAAGGTGCAGTATCCTCAGAGCCAGTCGTGCAAGATGAGCCACGTGCGAGACCTGCCTCCCGTCTCCGGCTCCATCATCTGGGCCAAGCAGATCGACCGGCAGCTGACGGCCTACATGAAGCGCGTGGAAGATGTCCTCGGGAAGGGCTGGGAAAACCATGTGGAGGGTCTTAAGCTCAAGCAGGACGGCGACAGCTTCCGCGCCAAGCTCAACACGCAGGAGATCTTCGACGACTGGGCAAAGAAGGTGCAGCAGCGCAACCTGGGCGTGTCGGGCCGCATCTTCACCATCGAGAACACGCGCGCCCGTGGACGCACCGGCACCGTGCTCAAGCTCAAGGTCAACTTCCTGCCCGAGATCATCACGCTCTCCAAAGAGGTGCGCAACCTGAAGTGGCTGAGCTTCCGCGTGCCGCTGGCCATCGTCAACAAAGCCCATCAGGCCAATCAGCTGTATCCCTTCGCCATCTCGCTCATTGAGAGCGTCCGCACCTACGAGCGCACCTGCGAGAAGGTGGAGGAGAGGATGTCCATCTCGCTGCTGGTGGCCGGCCTGAAGAAGGAGGTGCAGGCGCTCGTCACCGAGGGCATCTCTCTGGTCTGGGAGTCCTACAAACTCGACCCGTACGTCCAGCGTCTGGCCGAAAACGTCTTCAACTTCCAAGAAAAGGTCGACCAGCTCAAGACCAGTTAAACTAGAGCACCAGTCAGATGACTGGACACACACACATTCTTTATTAAAGCAATAAGCCCCGTGAAGCCGTGGTTTAAGCTTCACGGGGCTTATTGCTTTTATAAAACGGTTATTCCATATACGTAGTAAGGTTCCACAGAATAAAACAGAGCAAATAAAGTGTAATGATATTAATAAAAACAGTATTCTTCCACCAAACAATGTAGCTCCTCAGAAACAGTTGTGGTTGCAACAAAGTGGTTGCCGAGCAACAGACAAACGTAAACAAAGGTGTATGTTACTTTGTAGAGTCATTTACAACAGCTTCGAACGCGGCTCAGCCGATCAGAATCAAGCACCGGAACTATCCGTTTTATAATATTAGGGCTCTATGATTTCTGCGATGCGAAAACATGGACGGAATCCAGTCATAAAAACAGAATTTACAGTTATATCACAGAATTTGTCAAAGTTTGGATGAATTAATCAAAAGTACGTCATTACACTTCAATTAAATCATGATATGGACTAGTATCTGTAAAAATTACAGCATGTCTGTGTGTGAATGAATGGCGCAGACGCGCGGTTTTGTTTACTACACATGTACTGAAGCATGTGTGACGCTCGCGGTGATTTCAGCGGCACTAAATGAGGTCATAAATACATGAACAACATCTCCAGAACTGCTCTGAGAGTCACTTCATGAGTATTTGACCGTTTCATTTGAGTAAAACTATCCTCATATCATATACACACAGAAATGTAAAAGTATGCAACCCGTTAAAATAAAAGTTCGGTTTAACTTGAAAACATTGTGGCAGAAATATATTACTATAATTCAGTAGAATGCAAGTAATACTGCTACTACTGTTGAAAAATTAATATAACTTAATTTAAGGAATCACACGATTTCTTCCATGTTTTAATTTGACTAGAAAATCCCATTTATTGGCCAAAAAATCATTAATTTGATAACCAGAAAAATTTAAATAAACAGCACAGAATTTCATAAGACTTGTAAGAATAAATAAAAAAAAAATTTATGCATTCAAATAATTAGACGTGCTAAAGCAGAATTTGGTAACAACCATAAGGTGTGAAAAAATAAAACATTTCGTAGGGCCCTACACATGTAATTTTTGTTAAGCTTTTAATAAACTGATGTTAATTTATTAACTAAATTCATGAAACGTATATTAGACATGCAATTAATAAAATTCAATTTAACCACTAGAAAGGAGTCCAGAAAAATTTAAACGGAAAAAACAGAATTTGGGAAAAAATAAAACCGATTTCATAGGGTCCTATATTACTTGCATTATTGAACGATAGTCATCAAAACGGTGGGAATTTTCTTGTTACTTACTAAAAGAAATTGACCAAGCTTTGGATAGACAGATTTTCACGAGTAGGGCTGCACGATAATGGTTAAACGGTTAATCATGATTATTGTCATGCTCATTTTTGTACATTTCTTCAGAATTTTTTATGCTTATTTGATTCACCAGCTTGCTGTGTTTTTGTCGTTACTTAAATCAGTTTGCAGTGGCTGGGAGCAGAACGCTTACCAGTAACTGATAATGAGAGAAGCTACTGATAAAAGCTTAATTGGAACTAATAATCGGTGTCAGCCCATCGAAATGGTTAAGAAACATCAATTCAGTGGTGTGTGTCCATGATTCGGTTGGTAGTGTAGATGTGTAGTGTTTACAGTCCGGATGAAAAGAGATGTGAATGTCATGTTGGTTTGTGTGTATTCCGCTCTTAGGTGGATGATCTTCTTCTGCTCGAGGAGAAGATTGATCTGGAGGTGCGCTCGCTGGAAACCTGCATGTACGAGAATAAGATGTTCACGGAGATCCTCAGCCGCATCCAGAAGGCTGTGGACGACCTGAACCTGCACTCGTACTCCAACCTGCCCATCTGGGTCAATAAACTGGACATCGAGGTGAGTCCAGCTGGACAGAAGCGCAGAGTCTGTCCGGAGAGAGTGGTGTTTGATCAGATGTGATCGTGTTTCCTCCGTAGATCGAGCGCATCCTCGGGGTGCGTCTGCAGGCCGGACTCAAAGCCTGGACGCAGGTTCTCATGGGACAGATGGAGGACAAGGCTGATGTGGACATGGACACCGAGGCTCCTCAAGTTAGTCACAAGCCCGGAGGAGATCCCAAGATTAAGGCAAGACGTCGTCCTGTAGTTTTGAGCCTGTGTGCATTGAGGATTCGTAACTTCACACTGAAACGTTTTCTTCGTCCAAACAGAATGTCATCCATGAATTGAGGATCACGAACCAGGTGATCTATCTGAACCCGCCGATCGAAGACTGCCGCTACAGGCTTTACCAGGAGATGTTTGCTTGGAAGATGGTCATTCTGTCTCTACCCAGAATCCAGAGTCAGAGATATCAGGTCTGTATGTTTGTTTGCTCTGCGTTCGTCTTCAGTTTTCAGCTCCTTTTAAAGGGACAGTTCACCCAAAAATGATCATTCTGCTGTTCCAAACCTGTATGGTAAGCTTGTTAGTAACCAATAGAGCTGGATAAACCCCCCCCCCACTGATTTCTCGATTGTAATTGATTTTTATTTTTATGAAATGATATTGATTCTTAAATCCCAATAATTGATTAGTCTAGCCTGTTTACAGTTAATGAACGGAACATTATAGCGCACCCCCCCATCCAATAAATCGCAATAAGCTTTGTTACTGTTGATATGAAACAAAGTCTCAGAGTCTTACAATTTTATTTAAATTCAAACAATAAATGCTGTTTTGCCGCTGTTTAATGTGGAGTGACCGATCGCTGTAGCGCCTCAGTCCAGAAGCGGCAGATCTGGTCATCTCCTCTGCTTTAATACAAGTTACAGCACAAAATAAACATGAATAAACATCTGAAGGTAAATTAAAATAAAGTGTACAATTTACTGAAATCCGTATCCTGTCAAATGTAATCGCTCAATCAGTGTTTCAACCACGGAAAGATGTCAATATAACGGCTTGTAAACCGTGACCATAAACTCGTTAGTCAGGTATAGAGGTCAACCGATTGATCGGGCCGATATTTGGCATTTTTGAATTAATCTGCATCTGCATGTAAACATGTCGTCTTTCTTCTAAAATAAAAGTTCTTTATTGTGAGGTAAACAGACACAAAGTTTGCAATCTGTAATACAATATTGACTGTTTTTGCTCAAGTTCGCTGACAAAGTTTCAATCAAAGCCACAGCAGAACTGTTTTGTGTCTCCGAGCAACACAGCGGTGTTTCGATACTGAATGAATCCAAGTTTTTGAACAAATCAAGTGAGTCAATGATTCCGTAACCCATTCATAAAGACCGTAGTCACTTGCCTCGTTTCTGAATGAATCAGCCGTTTGAATGAATGACTAATGACTCGCTCATTAAAACAGTCATTTACCGTCATCTACTGGTGGTTTGGTTTCATATTTAAAAGTATTGCATTTTTCCCAACATTTTTAACTTGTATGTTCAAAAATATATGTTATAATTATTTATGCATTTGAAATTTTGTGGTGTAAATGCATTTATGGCAGCTCAGCTTCATTAAACAGTTTGTGTAAATACATCTAATGCCACTTCAGATGCAGCTTCTGTTTCCTCTGCAGTGAACAGATGGCGTTTGTTGATTAGTATGCGCACTCTAATGTGAACATTAAAATTTGCAAATAGAAAGACCCCCCAGACCCCCCTACGAGGGTCATATTCCCAACTATGTCACCTTTTTGACCTCTTGTGCCTTCAGTATTATAGTAATGTAGTGCCGACTGAGCATTAGTTGAGATTTTCTTTCCTTGAGGAAAATTTGGTATGTACTGTACCTGTTATATCCAAAGTAATCAATATTGAATCGAATCAATTTGGACATTGAATCAAATCGAATGCTTGAGTCAGAATCGAATCGTGATTCCCAGTCCTAGTAACCAAACAGTTGCTGGTAGCCATTGACTTCCACAGTATTCTGTGGCATACTTTCAAAGTCAGTGGCTACCAGCAACTGTTTGGTTATTAACATTCTTTAAAATATCTTCTTTTGTGTTGCACAGAAGAAAGAACCTCATGAAGGTTTGGACTGTCTCTTTAACGTTCGCTCTTCACGCAGGTCGGCGTTCACTACGAGTTATCAGAAGAGGAGAAGTTCTACAGGAACGCTCTGACCAGGATGCCTGATGGTCCGTCTGCGCTGGAAGAAGCTTATAATGCAGTGAAGGAGATCGTGTCCGAGGTGGAGCAGTACGTCAAGGTAGTGCCTTTACAAGCGTCTCTGTTATGAACCTGTTGCTTTCAAAAGCGTTTCTTGCATTTTATCAAGCAGAATTAATGTTTTAAAGAGACACAAACCAACTAACAATCACAGAATTCATCGTAATCTATTAATGTTTGAGCTGCAAGGCAAGTTTATTTATATAGCACATTTCATGCACAATGGTAATTCAAAGTGCTTTACATAAAAGCAATTA